TTTATCAATTTCTACGAAACTCGGTACATTTATCAACCTAGGCTTAAAGAAGCGACATGTTGAAAATTTTTTGAAATCGGACTAAAACTACCGCCACCGACCAATAACGGTAAATTTCAGAAATACGAAAATCCCAATATTTCAATAACTAAACACGCCAACTTACAACAATCTCTTCACAAGACACAATATTTTTGATTTTTGTAAAAATGGCGTGGCACCACCCACTTATGACTACATCGATTCCACCAAGTTTGCTCCAATTACTTCAATATCTCATAGAATATTATCGAAACTTTTTGGCATCGGCAAAAATACTCTTGCTTATCATGCAGTTTACTGAAAAGTGAAAAAACGATATTTAATACTGTCACCAAATATTTTGTGCACTGCTGCTGCAATAGTGCCTCGTCCGGCACTTTAAAAAATTGCTTTTTACCAAAAAAACTCCGCTGCCAATAATATTAATAAGCTATGTTGCGCTCGCAATACGGTTGTTGCCTGACTCGATGCTCGTTCAGATCTCCCCGGCACGCAGTTGCGAGCCAGACCGCAACCTATGCACCGGTACGTTGGAGTGTCAGCGCTGGCCCGATCATTCTAGAAGCGAATTGGGCGCTAGGAATCATATTTGTAATAGGGAAACACTTGCAAGCTTTTGCTGTTCTGAAAACTTTTCTGCGTCCGAATTTTTTCAAAAGCAACCTAATGCTTTACAAATACAAATATTTTATGATGACTTCGAAATAACTAATCCATTAGGAAGCAAAACCGAAACACATAAGATTGGTGCCCTCTACTTTACAATAAGAAATCTTCCGTTTCAATACAATTCAAAGTGTGCTAACATTCATTTAATTGCGCTTTTCTTATATAAAGATCTCAAAAACAAAAACGTAGATTTTAATAGAGTATTGTATCCGATTATCAATGACATTCGAGCACTCGAAAACATCGGTGTGAAAGTGGACAATATGTTCATAAAAGGTACTTTGGTGACTGTTGCTCACGACAACTTAGGAGCGAATGTTTGTTTTGGCTTTGTATGTTCTTTCAGAGCGGATTATTATTGCCGATTTTGCACAATTCATCGAGAAGAAGCTAAGCACACACTTGTTGAAAACAATAATCTTTTAAGAACACAAGCAGAATACGATAATATATTGACTACTGTTCCCGGAGTAACTCTTTTAGACCCAAAAATCACCAAAGGCATTAAAAATACTAGTGAGATCAATAAATTATCATACTACAAAATTTTTGAAACATGTACATACACATTATGCGCCTCATAATATACATACCCAACAGGGCCAGAAGCGCTCCATTAGTTATATTCCAATGGGGCCAGAAGCGCTCAATTATTGCTATTGGAGTGCTCCATATTCAGCAGTGAGCGCTCCCTTCCTAATTTCACACTTAATTGTATATTAACATTGGGTGTCATTAGAAAGAAGCGCTCCCTTGCTGCTCCCAAAGAAGCCCTTGGTGAGCGCTTCAACTAAAGCGTTTAAAAAGCGATGCATGCAAATTTTAATTTTTGTATTATATTTTTGTTTTAATAAAATAATGGCGTTTTTTGTAAACCAGTTGATGGCTTTATTAAGTGTACTTAATGTACATACATACATGTTTGTACATAAATTAAATATTTTTCAAAAGAAAATATTTTATGTTACTACTCAAAATTATATTTATTTCTGAGCATTGTTAGAAATTCCAAAATTTATTTTTTTACTTTGCTTTTGTACTGCTCCCTACTTGCTCCTTTGGGGAGCAGTTAACTTTCAGTCCCGTTGGGATTGGAGCGCTCCATATTCAGCAGTAAGGGCTCGCTTCCTAATTTCACACTTCATTGTATTTTAACATTGTGTGTCATTAGAAAGAAGCGCTCCCTTGCTGCTCCCAAAAAAGCCCTTGGTGAGCACTTCAACTAAAGCATTTAAAACGCGATGCATGCAAATTTTAGTTTTTATATTATATTATTGTTTTAATCATATATGTAATATTGGCAGTAAGAGCTAGTACCGTCCGAAAACACTACAGTACAGATATATCAATAAACACGCACGAAAGAAAAGGAACACATACGTTTATAAGTAAACATATACACAACACATATAAAAAAACGGCACTCAAGTACACAATACATTGACAAAAATGGTACTAGACTGTCTCGCTTTGATTTCGGAATGCTTACACATTGAGAAGTTAGCTTACAGCCAATATAGAAATATTGCATATATGGTTTTAATAAAAGAGTGGCGTTTTTGTACTGTATGTACTCATAAACATGGTTTTTTTTCTTTTCTTTGTGGTATACATACGAAAACACATACATACACGTTTGTACATAAATTAACTTTTTTTCAAAAGAACATATTTTATGTTACTACTCAAAATGATATTTATTGCTGAGCATTGTTAGAAACAAGGCGTATTTAACAAGGTGATGTTAGCCGTATATAAGTAAAAAATTACACTAACAAATTATACGCTGATGTCCATACTGTCATTGGTATGAGTTACAACAAACACATCATTTTGACGTAATGGCCTCCACGGCGAAAAACTCAGCTGTCGCCCCAACCCCACCTTGTTTAATACACCTTGGTTAGAAACTTAGAAATTTATTTTTTACTTTGCTTTTGTACTGCTCCGTACTTGCTCCTTTGGGGAGCAGCTAACTTTCAGGCCCGTTGGGTATATAACATACATATGTATATATGTAAATATGTATGTATATATTTGAAATTTTAAATGTAAACAATTCATATATTTGTCTACATTAACCCTGTTTTGGCTTTTGTTCATGTATGGCACGATGAACTACATAATCTCAAAGTGTACAAAACACATACGCATGTATGTATTAATACATATTAATACATATTATAGCAGTGCGCGCTACCACTCCGCAGGGCCTTAGTTCAAGCCCTGGTCAAAGCAACATCGCAAAAAAAACACAGAAAAATGTTTTTTTTTCTTTTAACAGCGGTCGCCCCTCGGTAGGCAATGGCAAACCTCCGCGTGTTTTTCCGCCATTAAAGACAGCTTCTCATAAAAATACAATCGCCGTTCGGGGTCGGTGTAAAACTGTAGTTCCCTCCCCTTTGTGTGACAACATCAAGACGCACGCTACAAATCGGAGCAGAAGCTCGGCCAAACACTAACATATGTGTAAGCGCCAATCTATTATTATTATTATTATTATTATTATTATTATGGTTTAGCGAATTAAAATACAGTTTATTCACTTGCTAGGTCAAGTCGTCCCTAAAGATAACAATTAAATAGCTCTTAAAGCACTCATGCTGGCGTTTGCAGGAGAAGACCAAATTGAGTTTAAGAACGCAGGCGTTCAATATTAGTAGATAATATTGATTTCCTTTTAAGTCGCCGTAATGATACTGTATGATAAATTAGTGCAGAAATAAGAGGACCATGCAATTTTTGTTGGTGCGCCAAGACGTACTTTTTTATTTCAGAAGCACCAGTAGGGACGACGGTCACTGCGTATTTCGTTGTTTGCAACATAAAACTAAGCGTTGACATTAATTTTAAGATTTTTTAATTGGAACCTAGAAAGTATGTATATTGGAGGTTGCTGCAGAGCCCCATAATTGTATTCCATAAGTCCATACCGGTTTTAAACCAGATGAATAGAGCAAGAGCTTATTCTCGAGTGAGACTTGAAATTTTGAGTTCAGTAACCAGTAATATGAAAAGCAAAATGATTGGTGCGCTTTAAGGGATTTGCACAAAATCGCTTAGGTGGTTGTTGAGCCAATCAAGAAACAGAATAGCTAAATATGTTCGAAAATATTACGAAAAAAGGCACGCAAGTTGAGTTGATGGAACTGGATTAGGATTGAGGCGTCTTCTCTTGGCATTTGAATAATTTATTTCACTCGATTTGAAGTGCAGAGCGCGAAAATTGGATGATGCAGTCAGTTGAACACCATACGCATTCATCGATTCCCATTCCTGTGTAAAATTTTTCGACACAATAAACATATCCTCCTCTTTACTGTGAGTAGTTCTGCATGTTTATGCAATTTTTTGTTGGTTGCTCCTTATTTCCTAAAACAAATTATTTTTGGAATTACAAAAAAAAAATTTTAATTTGAAATACATTTCAAATGTTGCTACTGGCAAATGGGTTAATGCAATGACAAAACTGTTGTCAAATAAGTGTATCAAAAATAAATATGTATGTCATATATTGATTTCACTTTGTTTATTACATTATTCCATGGCTTTACGAGCTCTTTTTTTTCTTACAAGCTTGTAATCACATTGGCTGCGTTTCTTTATACATTCCGGATAATCCCATCTCACAGCCGGAATAAACAGAATGCGTTTGAGATATACGTCAACATATCATCAGGAACGTTCTAAAGAATAAATAAACAAAAAAGTTTATTCCAAACGTTCAGAATGAATAAAGAAATGCAGCCATTATTTTAAAAAATAGAACACTCTCACTCTTTTAAAAAAGTTAGCAACGAAACGCGTAGGGGGAAAAATTAAACTTGATTTTGATTTTTAACTTACTGGCTCCTAGAATAACCGAAAGATAAATTGAAAACTGGCCCGAAAAATAAATTAATTAATTTAAATTAATTTAACTTTTTAACTCTTGGCACTTCTCTTAAAAAAGTTAGCAACTTTTTCTATCCATAACTAAACTCTCTGTGTCCAAAATTGCATGCAGATCCGTTTATTCACCTTCGCGTGATTGAGCTACAAACATCCAAGTTCACAAACATACAAACTTAAACAATTATAATATTAGTATATAAATATAATCCGCACAAAGTTTAACAAATGGGCCTTTATTTTTTGTATATTAAAACTAAGGGAATAGTTTTTCCTAAGAAAATTGTAAAAGCGTTGAATAAAGTACACCCGGAGTAGGGATACAGTAACGTTATTATCGTAAATGAAGTAAATACTTTATAGGCACAACCCTTATCTTATAATAGTTGTATACTTACTGAGAAAAGCAAAGATGTAGGAGGTCGTGCAGCAGATGTAAGTGGAAGTGGTGCATTTGAATGTTGGCGGACGGTACTTTCGACCAAATCACCGTCCATATCAGGCAAACTATTTACAATCATAGCACATAAAAGACAATTTTCGATATTAAAGGGTTTCTTAAAAATTAAAAAGATTTTTGTTTTCGAACATAAGCTAGAATTGTTAAAGAACGTTAAACTAATTGTGAGTTGAAAAAATTGTTTGTCTACCTATAGCCAAACAAAGGAGATGCCATGGTAACAACTTCCAAGGAGTTCAAGCATGTAAACACACACACACACAATGTGACTTCCCTGCAGGGAAAGCTACCAGTTGTGAACCAGAATGCTACCAGTTTGTCCCTACAGGGAAAGCTACCAGTTGTAACCAGTATGATACCAGTTTGTGTTTCAGCCCAACTAGTTCACGTTGTATCCTTTTTCAATGTTAGCGACTGTTATTTTAACATGGCGGTGTCATAGGAGATGCCAATTGTCCACTCCTGCATCAGCATCCTACCAGTAGAAACACTAGTGCTCCATAATAGCTAATGGGATAGATGGCCAATTCATCCCCGTGAAAAACATATCTAAGTTTATCATTTTGCTCGCGTCGCTGCAACAGTGGCAATCAGCGTTGCCGCGAGCTTGAAAAAAAATATCAGTTGCCAAGCAGACAAAGTATCAAAAGCATACACAACTTTGTTTTGTTGAAAAACAAATAATAAATAAAATTTTATAACTAAATCCATTGTTATAAAAAAAATATATATATTATTTGCTTGCTTTACGAAAACATAGAATCTGTATGCTTATTTGCATAACGAAAAACAAACTTATAGGGCCCTTAAACACACAAAATCATTGCGCAACCCGAGACTTGTAAACCTCAATTTGTTGCACAAACCTTATTTTGGAGAAACGTTGCTCAAGTAAATATGTGTAAGAAATATGAATGTGCGTTGTATATTTTGATAGTTTCAACTTTAAAACGCAAAAAAAGTATATTAAATTTGTTTTTTAATTTTTTCTACGCCCTTATCCATATTTTACAGCATGATCTGGATACCAGAATCAAAACTAGACTAAAAATTGCGCAGTAGTCGCAATCAGTGTTGCCGCGCCGTGGTTTAAAAATGGTTTAAAAAAGCCATCAAAATCCTAAGTTTTCAATACAATTGACAAATGAAGACATACATCAAGTTAATCGAAAAATTTTCGAACAAAAAAACAGTTGCATTTAATGGAATCGAATTTTCGCAAAAAATATTTGCAAAAAAAATACTTTTATAGAAAAAAACAAGTTAATAGCAGTGTTCGCGTATTCAGAATTATCTGAAACAAAAGAAAATAGGGCATTTTGAATTATTTATTGCAGATGTTATAATTATTGCTAGTATACTGTGAAAAGCATAGTAAAACTATTAAGCACTGGTTGTGTTCAGTTTATTTTTAGTTAATTTACTATTAATCTCCAGTTTTCTTATTTTAGTATGTGTCAACTGTTTGCCGTATACAATTTTTCGATGGTACCATATTTTTCCCTAAAATATACCGAAATAGATAAAAATGTTGAAATGTTTTGACCGAATTTTTCAGTTGTTAGTTGAAAAGAAAATATGATGATTTTAAAGGCACATTTGTAACTACATCCACTTATTTTTTTTTGGAACAAGGTTTGGTGAGATTCTCATATTTTTGAATGCGTCATGATATGGGACCGCAAATAATTTTGAGAAAAATAACTCATTCATTTCGAGAT